TTCTTTGCTCAAAAAAATTTTAGGATGTTTTATTTGTATTTGTTTTAAGCATTAGAATATTTATGCAAAGTTTCAATCCATTTGGATAAACCTTCGAAGAAAAAAGTGACAAAATTGATTTTGACTAGGGTCGCCCCTAGTCCAAAATTGAAAATGTATTTCCTACTTGGTTCTTTGCTCAAAAAAATTTTAGGATGTTTTATTTGTATTTGTTTTAAGCATTAGAATATTTATGCAAAGTTTCAATCCATTTGGATAAACCTTCGAAGAAAAAAGTGACAAAATTGATTTTGACTAGGGTCGCCCCTAGTCCAAAATTGAAATTGTATTTCCTACTTGGTTCTTTGCTCAAAAAAATTTTAGGATGTTTTATTTGTATTTGTTTTAAGCGCGAAAATAACTATGCATAGATTTAATCCATTTGTATAAACCCTCGAAGAAAAAAAGTGAGAAAATTGATTTTGACTAGGGTCGCCCCTAATCCAAAATTGAAAATGTATTTCCTACTTGGTTCTTTGCTCAAAAATATTTTAAGATGTTTTATTTGTATTTGTTTTAAGCACTAAAATATTTATGCATAGTTTCAATCCATTTTGACTAGGGTCGCCCCTAATCCAAAATTGAAAATGTATTTCCTACTTGGTTCTTTGCTCAAAAATATTTTAAGATGTTTTATTTGTATTTGTTTTAAGCACTAAAATATTTATGCATAGTTTCAATCCATTTGTATAAACCCTCGAAGAAAAAAGTGACAAAATTGATTTTGACTAGGGTCGCCCCTAATCCAAAATTGAAAATGTGTTTCCTGCTTGGTTCTTTACTCAAAAATATTTTAGGATGCTTTATTTGTATTTGTTTTAAGCATTAAAATATTTATGCATAGTTTCAATCCATTTGTATAAACCCTCGAAGAAAAAAGTGACAAAATTGATTTTGACTAGGGTCGCCCCTAGTCCAAAATTGAAAATCGATTTTCTTTGGTGTACTTTTGTCAAAAAAATTTTTTGGATGTTTTATTTGAATTGACATAATTCTGACATAAATCACATACCAATATTACTTTTTGTAATGCATAGCTTAAAAAAACGAAATCTGAAATTTCGACTACCCCATCTGAATTTTGTTCATACTCTTCACTGTGGAAACCAAAAAACAAATTCTTTATCTTAAAACACTTGACAAAATAGCGACATAATTCAACTAGGCTATCCGGAGGCGCCCGTGGCGCCTCTTATTAGGGTTAAAATTTGATTACTATTATGTAAATAACTGTAAGACGCAAATAACCATAATGTTTTTAAGGTCAATCCTACCACAAAACTTCACATGGCCTCACAAACCCCCTCAAACTCGGACCCCCTTAATCCCATTAAAACTTTATAAATGACTTCACAAACTTCCTCAAACTCGGACTTCCTTAATCCCGCAAAAACTTTACTGACACCCACTTTGTCACTCCCCAAACAACTGACACCGACCTTGTCAGCACCCCTCAAATCATTGGCTTCACAAAATATACCTGACACCCCCCTTGCCCTCAATCCCCACCTGACACCCACTTTGTCACTCTCCTCACAACTGACACCAACCTTGTCAGCACCCCTCAAATCATTGGCTTCATACGGCTTCACAAAATATACCTGACACTCCCCTTACCCCCCCCCCCCCCCCCGTCAACCCACCTTGTCAGCACCCCTCACATCATTGGCTTCATAAAGTATACCTGACACCCCCCTTGCCCCCAATCCCCACCTGACACCCACTTTGTCACTCCCCCCACAACTGACACTAACCTTGTCAGCACCCCTTAAATCATTGGCTTCACAAAATATACCTAACACCCCCCTTGCCCCCATCCCCACCTGACACCAACTTTGCCAAGAAAAAAATCAACTAAAAAGTGTTTAAAAATTCCTTGTGCACAAAATTGTTCCCACACATTAGAAAATTGAAAGTTTTTGTTAATTTCTCTTGATTTGATTCTTTTAGCATTAGATTTTTAGATTATCTTCTACATAATGTTTTCGTTCATTGCTCAAAAAATCAGTCCTTAATATAAAGGATAAACATGATTTTTTACCAAAAGTTTGTAAAAGTTTATCAAAAAATATTGTGCATGATCAAATTTTAAGCTATCAACTGCTTCCCAGACATCCGAATAACAACGTAAAGTAGAAAAAATCATATTTTTTTTTTCATATACAAATTGTAAACAAATTTTGGGTGAGATTAAATTAATGATTTCTGGAGTTAGACAGCAAATAGGAACGAGATATTTTTAAAGGATATGCATAAAGGTAAGGTCTTTAATCTGGCATAGAAGACAAAGTTTAATTAACATGAAATTTTTGAATTTTTGAACATTTTTTTCGATTCTGAATCATTGTGATTTTAGGGCAATTCCACGAGTAAAGGGAACTGAGAAAAAGCAAGTTATAATATTTTTCTACTTGGAATAATTTGAATTTTTTTTACCGTTACAAATTTTCAAAAGATTCAAACTAATTTTCATTGCCTTGATTATTATTACGATTATTTCACAAAATTATGATGTTAACATGAAAAAAAAAACAAATTAAATTCATTATTAACCCCATAAAATGTTATTTTTCGAAGAGAAATTATTCTTAGCAATAAATAAATTTAACGGGAATTCAAAATTCAAATTTTCTGTTTTTTGTTGGTTTTGGATAAAGCGCTGAAAACTTAACCGATTAACGCAGTATTTTTTAAATTTCTCTGTGAATAAAGCATTTAAGAACAGAAAAAGTGTACAAATAAGTAGAAAAAGAATGGATTAAAAATATACTTGAGCACAAAAAATGGTTATTTGAAGACTTTTTTAAGGATATAAGAAGCTAAATTTTCGCAAACTTAACCGATTAACGATGAAAAAACTGAATTATTTCAGTAAAAAGACCTTCAAACGTTTAGTTACCTATTTTAAAATGAATATCTTGAGTTATTACTAATTATAAATTTTTAAAAGAACGGAACAAGGTGTTATTTTAAGAGTTTTTTAATCAAAAAGAATTTTACTTGCATTTTTTCACTCATGGAATTGCCCTTTAGCTTAAATAACCAGCAAAGGTAAAAACTACCGGCCTGTTTCACTAAGGTGGATTATCCTCATTTTAGGATTATCTATTTCTTCGATGCGCGGAAAATCCAAATATTTTTTTTCTGATGTAGAATTAATTGGTTAATAATAATCAGAACAGTTTGAGAAAAAAATCTTTTTATTGGATAGTGAATATAGCACAAAAATGATTTTAGTATATGGATTATCCTGAGATTATCCAAGGATAATCCTGAAGATTATCCAAATTTTCAATCTTGGGGGGACCCAGTTTTAACATTTTAGATTATTTATGTGGATAATCTTCGGATAATCCACTTACTAGGATAATCGTTTTTTGTGAAATCCATCGTCAAAAAATTATTTTCTTTAAATCTATTTTTTCTGATTAACGGTGCAGTTTAACGAATTAAAAAAAATCATGGATTATCTTCGGATTGAAAAAGTGGATAATCCGATCGGTGGATAATCTACCTTAGTGAAACAGGCTGTACGAGTTCAAATTGCCAATAAGGCAATGTTTTTTTTTTTCGTTGCTAGATTCACAATTCATACTGACACATTTTGCATATTATTCTCTGAAATACATAACGAGTCACAAAACTTGTAAGATTTTAAAATTTATTTAAGTATAAATTTTGTCAGTTAATGTTTTAAAATAATTTCCAATATTTTCTTTTCCTAAATTATAAGCTTACTGAATTACTGAAATCCTAAAAACATTGCAAAAGATGTAAATCGTTTTGATTTCGTAAAGATTTCAATTTTTAAAGTTCCCTTCTTCCAAATAATGTACACGTAACAAGATATTAATCCTCAAACGTTCGTTTAAGATGCTTGTTTTACGCCATGTTGCCAAAATTCATTGCTCCAAAAATTTACGCAGACTATCAAAATAGAAAAGAAAGAACTCGTGAATAATTTTTTAAGTATTTTATTGGAATCATTTTGATAAGAGTCACAATTAAATTAAAAACTAAGAACGATTATTAGTTTAGACAAGTAGTAGAATCTCTTGTTAAGTTATTTGCCTGTTTTAATTTCATTACAAATATAGTGCCTAATTACTAATGAATCTTTTAAAAACATATTTTGTTAATGGGCGATTCCATGGGTAAATGGAACTGAAAATTTTTTGTTCAAAAACTTTTTTAGCTTTTTCTGCTTAAATATACATATTTCAACATATCTTTTCACTAAATAAGACTTATTATTCATCAATTCATGTGTTATTAGCATTTAATCGTCTTAATTATGCTGCATTTTGACAAAAATATGTAATGTGTTTTGCAATAATCGGTTGAAAGTTGACCGATTAAGTGGTGTTTTCCCCAATTTTCTCCTTAATTACAGTAGTAAGACATACAAATAAGATATTGTTATAAAGCACAGGCGATTTCACGTGTGTTTATCATAGATTTGTAACACAACAATGGATATTCAAAGAAATATTGATAAAAATTTAAAAATCAATTTTTTGTAAAGTTGACCGATTAAGTTTGGTTTTTTTAAAATATCTTTTGTCAGACAGATTTAACTAAAAGATTATGCACTAAAATACATAAATACCATAATAATAAATAAAATAAATCTTAAATATGGCGTTAAATGAAGTTAATTAAGGAAATATTTACAAAAAATTGAGTTGAGAAAAAAAAATTCACTCATGGAATCGCCCTAATGATAAAATTATAAAAGGTTTCATAAACTAGCATGTGGTTAGTATTTTTATAGGAGAATTTCATTTTTAATTTGTTTTGTTAATTGCAAAATAATAAACTTTTATTATTATATTTACCCAAACTTTACATTAACCAATTTTTTGTCTTAAAGAGAGCTATTTTTAAAAAATTATTTAATGTTTTATTTTTTTTATTTTATGTTTTTTAAGTATGGAAAATATGTCAAAATCTTGTACGTTATGGACAGTGCAAAAGGAGATATTTCACAAAAAATAGCTTTCGAAGATTGCAGCAATCAAAACAAGAAAAATAATGAACAAAATGAGGTAAACGACAAAATGAATAGAAAGGAAATAGCACAAATTCAAAACACATCTTTGGATAATGGATTAGATCCAATAGGTATTGAATTAATTAGTGCAAGTTTAGAACAAAACAGTAATATGATGTCATCTGATACCATAACCGATATGAAAGATAACAACATATTAAAACATTCAAATGAAGCAAATCTACGTTTAAAAACTACTGAATTATCATTTGACGAGTCTAATGTATCACATCCAAGAGAGAGAATGTCCAGAGAGATGCGAAATTTACAAAAATCTACACAAGATTCAAAAGTTTTATCAAACTATTTAAATCACTTTGATAGTCCAAGAATACGGAATCGAAAAACGAAAGAATCGAATTCATTAGCTAATGATACTGAAATCATAAATGATAATGTTTCTTTAATGATTGAAAAAGAAATTCCTCTCAAAAGTGGAATTACTGAAAATGACGATTCTGACTCAACTACCGTAGTTCGTGATGAAATTGGAAAGAAACGTCGCAGATCAATTTCTAGGTCAAGGACATCAAGGACATCTCAAAGATCCAAAAGCGTAGCTGTAAGACCAAAATCTTTATCAAGACTACTTAGCGATGAAATGGCTTTGACAAGTGATAAAGAAGAAAATCAAGACGAAGATGAAATAGATGACTTAACAAATACAATTGTAATGAACAACGTTAAACCAATAGAAAACCGTGCACTGAATCCTCCACCAAAAGTAAGTCTTCATATTCACACCGCTTTACGAAACATCTTTATATCTTAATCCTTGTAACCAAAAGAAATATCAATGTATATAGGAATCTTTCACGGATTATATATATGGGCAAATCCGCGGCAGGCAAAAATCTCAAATTTTTGTTTTTCTCAAAATTCTCTTTAATTATACATTAAAAGTATTATTTGGGTATTAAATCATGTGTATTTTCGACTGAGCTATGAATATTGTTGCTTATCTAACGCTAAAAGTCATTAGATAAAGAAGTAAATATTTTTTATTTTTCTAGCGTCAATTCCTCCTGCAAAAATTGTAAAAAATTTCTAAAGTATAGTGTAGACAGAATAAGACTGATTCTATCACATTCCAAAAATACTTCTCTATCGTTTTCTACTTTCAGGAGATAATTAAAGTCACTTATTTAAGAGAAATTTATTAAATTAGCGTCAATCTCTCCTGCGGACAACCGATTATTGCAAAACACATTCTGAAAATGTTGATGCAAACTTTAATAAGCTTTTTGTTTACAAATTAGTTTTTAATTAAATTTGATGTTAAATAAAGCTTTAATCGTTTTGAGGATTTAATGGATGTATTTTGATATTGTGTTGAATGGAACTAGAGAAATAAACTCTTGTAACTACAACTAAATCAAAATATTTGCTAAAAAAATTAACGGCTATTAATTTTTCTAATGCTTTCAAGTAGAAAAATATTGGAAATGCACAATCAATGATTCAGATTTGAAAAAAATAACTTTTTATCGAATTTTTGAAACTTGTTTCGAAAAGGCAGCTTAATAATACACTTTGTTCGTTCGTCTCCAGAAAAACTTTCCCGAATAGACAAAGAGCACGCTATGAGCGCGCTCAAATTTAGTGCTGAGCATGCTCGCGTGAGCGTGCTCTTTCATACGAAAAGTGATGCCACTACTTTACGCTAATGAGCACGTTTTTTGAGCATGCTCTGAGCACGTTATTTTAACAAATTTTGAGCATGCTCAAATTGTTGTGTGACATGCAACATTTTTTATGTCATATGATGTGACATTTGAGTACACTCAGTGAGTGTGCTCGTGAGTGTACTCTGAGCATGCTCACTGAGTGTACTCACATTATTTTATAATTTTCAAAAAAATTAAATTTTGAAATTATTTTTTTTGATATATTTTACTGTTGTAGAGTTTTTTTAATGTTCTAGAATAAATTTTGTTCATTAATAATCTGAAAAAAACACTTAAGAAAATTTTTGGATTTTACCTGGATTCGAACTTACGACCGCTCTGTTGCTAAGACCATTACCATAACCATTACACCACTGCTGCAATTTACCTTTATAATTTATTATGGCAAAAACTCATATATAAACTATAACAAAGTTAAATACTTCGAAATTGATCTCAAAATGTTTTTAAACAATGTTTATAGTTAAAAAGTAGATAACTATATATAATTCTAGAAACTTTGACTTGTGAAGTACATACAAAATCATGAGCATACTCAGAGTATGCTCAATATATGTGCTCTTGAGCACGCTCAATAAAATGTGAAATCTTTAAAAAAAATGTTTTTTTAGAGTACATTCACAATGTGCTCACGAGTATGCTTAAGAGTGAGCATGCTTAAATTTGAGAATTGAGTATGCTCATGAGCATGCTCAATAAAATGTGAAATATTATAAAAATTGTTTTTTTTGTGAGCATATTCACAATGTGCTCACGAGTATGCTTAAGAGTATACTCAAGTGAGCATGCTTAAGTTTGGTAATTGAGTATGCTCATGAGCATGCTCTCGAGAATGAGTATGCTCTCGAGCATGCTCAATAAAATGAAAAATTTAAAAAAATTGATTTTTTTGTGAGCATATTCACAATGTGCTCACGAGTATGCTTAAGAGTGTACTCAAGTGAGCATGCTTAGATTTAGGAATTGAGTATGCTCTCGAGCATGCTCAATAAAATAAAAAATTTCAAAAAATTTGTTTTTTTGTGAGCATATTCACAATGTGCTCACAAGCATGTTCAACTGAGTGTGCTCAGGTGAGCACGTTAAATGATGATTTTGAGCATGCTCATTAACGTGCTCACAAAAGTGAGCACGCTCTTTGTCTATTCGGGTTTATAATCAGACATCGTAGAAAGCTTGGGTTTGTTTTAATAGCTCCGTTACTATCGATTTATTGGCCCATCGAATGCTTAAAAGTCTTCAAACCATGTATTTATGCTATAATTAATGATTTTTTATTTCATAAACAAAACCACGTGATGACAATAATATCGTCAATATAAAATTTGACTCCAGGTAAATCGCCAAAAGTATCCATCATGTACTTTTGAAAGATTTCAGATGCAATATTTATTCCAAAAGGCATTCTATTAAATTGCCACAAGCCAAAAGGAGAACTAAACGTGCACAATTTTTTGGATTCTTCGTCCAACTCTATGTGCCAAAAACCATCCTTGAGGTCTAAAACCGTAAAGTTTTGAGAATCTTTCAAATCTTGCTTTAATTCATCAAGGGATGGAATCGGAAAATGAAACTTATATAATGCTTGATTCAAATGTTTTGGATCAATACAAATTCTAATTTTGTCTCCTTTTTCAACAATTACTATACTATTAATCCATTCACGTTGTTCATTGACACGTGAAATAATTCCTATCTTTTCCATTTCATTTAATTTATTCTGAAGCTTATTCTTCAACTTGAATGGAATTCGACGATTCTGATTCGCCACCGGAATTGCATTTTCCTTTAATTTCAATTTAAGAGGTCTATTAAACTTGCCTAGACCTGTAAAAGCTTTTTTTTTTATAAAATTCTAAAAACTTATTCTTTTGCTGTTTCTAACACAACATTTGATTCAATTGCAAGGAATCTATACGAGATATAAGTTTTAGATTTACACATGTCTCTTAACCTAATAAAGGTACCGTATGTTTATCAATGATTATGAATTCTTCAAGGTAAAAAAATATAAGGTAAAATATCCTTGTAATCTTAAATTACTTTTCTCAATCTTAAATTTCTTTCCTAAACTTTTGACCTATGCTTAAAGTATTAACCTGCGATCCAGTATCCAACTTAAAATTGATCATTTTATCATACACGAGTAAGTTTTTACTCCAAACCTTCTCAGACCTTCTCCTTCTTCTTTTTGCTTATTGAATTCTCAAATTTTTTGCTCTTAATTCGAGAACTTTCACGTTTATTTGACGTCGGTTTGTGAAGAACAGGTTGGTCAACTGCTGCTATTTGATTCGCTTTAACACTGTCTGATGCTAGTTGATTCAATTGTTGTTGATTGTAGTAGAAAATTTTGATTTTGCTAATCAACGTACGTAATGACTTTTCTTCAGATAAAATGAGCTTTTCTCGCAAATTGTTGTTATGCAGACCGAAACTTATTTGATCACGAATGGCTTCTTCTTTGAACTCATTAAATGCACAGCTATCGGCTTGGGTTTGAACGTCACTAATGAACTTGTCGACAGATTCGCCTTCTTGTTGAATTCGACCACATAATTTCATTCGTTTAATTAAAAAATTTGATAACGGTGAAAAATGATTCTCGAGAGCAAGTAAAATCCGTAAATGAAATCAAAATTAAGAGACAAAAGGCAAATTGAATGCCTGAAACCTTAAAACAAAAAGCAACAAAATGTATAGAAACTTTGTACATACTTAAATTTAAATGTAAATAAAAAAAAAAAAAAAAAAAAAAAAAAAAAAAAAAAAAAAAAATTCTCGAGAGCCTCAAACACTTTTTTATAGTTCTGCTTCTCTGGATCTGTTAATGGCAGATTCTTGATGATATCCACTGACTTATATCCCATCAATAGTGTCAAGAAATTGAGTTTGATGTTGTCGGAGTTGGTTGATTACCAAATATGAGTTGAATTCTTTTGAAAATCGTATTCATTCAATTTCTAACGTTGAAGCTTCAAAATTGAACTTTTCAATACTTAAATACAGCTGCGCCATGTTTTATTTTTGATTTTTCAATGAAACACGTCTTTATGTTATTGTTCGAGATATTCAACTGATTTATTGTTTTTCTCTGATTACTGAGATCATTATTTTACAATTTTCGCTTTGAACTTATTCCAGTTTGCGTTTTTGTAGTCATATCTGTAGACTGTATTTTCAGTTCTGTCGCTTTTTGATGTTTTGATTTGGAAATACACAGCGCAGTGATCACTCATTGCCTGTGAGCATTGAAGTTCTGTTGTTTCGAGGTTGGAATTCGAGAGCATCAGGTCAATTGTTGACACTGATTTGTTTCGATCTTCTGGGTAGTACGTTGGCGAGTCAGGAAAGTAGATCATGAACTCTCCTGACATTTTCTAAAGAATATTTCCTGATTTATTTGCAACATTGCAGTTCTATTCTCGATGTTTTGCATTGAAGTCTCCACAGATGTAGTAATTTCCTCTCAGATTTGTTATTTTGTTGATGTCATCTCTCAGATGTTGATCTATTTCCCCTCCTTTGCTTCCTCCTGGGAGATAGACTGAGAAGATCTGACAACTATCCGTGTCATTGATGAAGACTTTGATTCCAATGCATTCCATTAGTTTTGTGTTGTAGCCTGGTTGAAGCTGATGTTTTAGATTTCTTTTGACGATGATTGCAACACCACCCTTTGGTCTATCCTTTGCTTAGGTAATCGAGGAATGCGAACATTTTGTCAGTGAGGCCTTTAGCATTCCAGTAGAGAACGTTGATACTTTGTTGTCTACAATCCATTATTGTATGCGGTGTTTTTGGCGTTTGAGCCGATTGCTTGGAGTTTTCCGTCGATCAACTCTGGATTTTTGGCGATTAATTTGAGAAGCTCGCTGATGAGGTACTTGCACTTTGATTCCTCTATTTCTGAGATGTTTTTATCTCTTGTGCTGGTGCTTTGAGCTTGTTGATTAGTTGTTATGTTTCGATTCACTCCCTCAACACTGAATGAAGGTTCAGGGAAAACTTCATTCGAGGTCTGACTTGTTGGACT